ACACATTTTCCATCTGTGGTGACCTTGGTGCAGCCACGTGGCTGAGTTGGATGAGTATCCTTGAATCTCCTGCTATAAAACTCCTTGTGAAGGGCAATCCTGGCAGAGCTGGGGGCAGCCAAGGGGCACACATGGAAAYAGAGAAGCTTTTGGGACACAGTTCAGCACAGGAGGAACTTTGCCAGCTTTTCCTGGCCCCGCCATGCTCTGGGCACACATGGGGTGTTCTAACMTGTTTGTTCTGTGCTGTGACAGTCCATTGGTTTGACGTTTCTGAGGAATCCTGTCCTCTAGAGCGTGGGAAGGAACTGCTTTTCCTGGCAAATCAGGGATTCACCCCTCTTCACGCAGAGGTGGTCAGTGCAAAGTAGTTTACCAGGACASTGTGCCCTTGCCTGGGTCAGGGCCTCATGTCCTGAGCATGAGCTGGGCCAGCACAGAGCCAAATCTGGGAAATCCATCGTGGTGTCATCACCTGGCTTCTCCTCTCCCTCTCTTGCAGGCCTTCCACATCACCAACGATGAACCAATTCCCTTCTGGGCTTTCATGTCCCGGATCCTGACYGGCCTGGACTACGACCCTCCCAAGTACCACATTCCCTACTGGCTGGCCTATTACCTGGCCCTGCTGCTGTCCCTGCTGCTGGCCCTGCTCAGGCCCCTGGTGACCATCAAGGCCACCTTCACACCCATGAGGGTGGCTCTGGCTGGGACATTCCACTACTACAGCTGTGAGAAGGCCAAGAGGGCCATGGGCTACAAGCCYGTGGTGAGCCTGGACGAGGCCATCGCCAGGACTGTGCAGAGCTACCCCRCCCTGCGCAGGGCCAGGGCCTGAGCAGCCCTGCTGCCACTGTGTCCTTCTGCATTTTTGTCATTATTTATCACTTAGCAGGGACATTGAACCAAATGTCACCAATTCCCAGGAATGGGGAGTTTTCCTGAAGCCTCTCCTCCTCCTCCTGGCTGTTCTCTCGATGGAAGCCCCTCACGTGGGAGCTGTGCTAACAGTTCATTTCATGGATGCCACTTCTTGTTTGGACACAGCTGCTGAACTCTCTGGACTRTGAATAAACATCCTGCTGTGCCCTCTGCAATCCCAACCGGGCACACCAGCATTCCTGCTCTCCTCCCTCCACCCTTGGCCCGTGTTTTGTTGCTCTGGTGACAGCAGCCACCTCTTCCCAGAGCTGCAGGCTGGGTAACAAAYACTTCCCATGGCTGGGTCCCCTCTCGGTTTTGGCTCTGCTCTCAGCCAGAGAGGCCAAAAAGGAGTGCTGCCACCACCTCTTAAATCATTGCAGCTCTTTTGGTTTTCCCTCCATGATTAGGGGGTGTGCTGCCTCCTCACTGAGGCAGCAGAGGGAGCCCATAAGGAGTGGGTTCATTTGTCCATACAGGATTTATTTCTGTTCCAGAAGAACCCAAATAAATCACAGAGATGAGTTTCCAGTTTGTGTTCCATCTCTGAAAGGGCAGATCCCACTCTCAACACAAACAGGATCTTCATAATTCCCTTTTTGGGGGGCAGAGATCTTTGGGAGCTGCCTGACAGCAGCCCTAGCACTGTCTTYCCATAACTCCCTTCCCACAAGAGTTGCAGTGGCTGAAGATCCTACAACACAAAGCTCCTCCTCCCTGCCCTGTTATTGCTGTCATGGGGATTTTTGGTGCTTGGAGCACTTAGTCCATGAAAAAACCTTTTTTCCACAAGGAAATGGATATAAAGCAATGGTCCCCAAGCCTGTTTCCTTGAACATATATATTAAATGTTCTTTACCTTCTAATCTTTCTAAGCACTTCAGCTCTGGTTTGGTTTTAAATGAGGAGTTTAGGTTCAAGCTGGCATTTCCCCCTGTGCAAATTCCTGGCTCCATGGGAGTTCTGTTGTTTCAGATTTCACAAGGATGGGAAGTGCCTCAGTTACAGAATTATGGAATCCCAGAATGGTTTGTGTGAGAAGGGACCTTAAAGCTCACCCAGTGCCACCCCTGCTATGGTCAGGGACACCTTCCCCTGTCCCAGGCTGCTCCAAGCCCTGTCCAGCCTGGCCTTGGRCACTGCCAGGGATCCAGGGACAGCCACAGCCTCAACCACAACGAGCCTTAACCTAATCTGTGAGCTCTGTGTGCTGCTATAGTCCAATTAAATTGGTTTTATTTTAACTTCTGGCTGTTTCCTGGGAAGATTTATGTTGGTCTTTTTTTCCTGGGGATTTTTATTTGCAGCTTAACAGCTTATTTGACCAAGCTCAGCCTTGCTTGGTCTTGAACACTGACCAGTTGCTTGGGGCAGCTCATACCATTCTGGTTTGCACTGGTCAGCCCCCCTGGCCTGCTGGGAGCAGTGGTTGAAGATCATACAGCACAGAGCTCCTCCTCTTTGCCCTGTTATTGCTGCTCACAGGGATTTTTTGTATTTGGACCACTTAGTCCATGAAAAAAAACTTTTTTTTTCCATAAGGAAATCAATATAAAGCAATGGTCCCCAAGCTATTTCCTTGGACATGTATATTAAATGTTCTTTGCCCTCTAATCTTTCTAAGCACTTCAGTTCTGATTTGGTTTTATATGAGGAGTTTAGGTTCAAGCTGGTATTTCACCCAGTGCAAATTCCTGGCTCCATGGGAGTTCTGGTGTTTCAGATTTCAGAAGGATGGGAAGTGCCTCAGTCACAGAATTATGGAATCCCAGGATAGTTTGGGTGGGAAGGGTCGACCAACAGGACACCCAGTGTCCTCACACTGGGAGGGGTGAGGAAATAGGATTGGGGGAAGTGGAACATCCAGGATTACCCGAAGTCAAACAAGAGCTAAATCACTGCATCACCTTTGGCCTCCAGGTGGCATTTCCCAGCTGGATCTGCCTGGCAGCTCCCATCCATCCCAAAAATGCCGTGTCTCGGTGCCGGGGCGCAGTCCCAGGGCAGGGTTCCTCATCCCCCAGTCTGGGAGCAGGGTGGGAGCTGAAGGTGCTCCCGGAACACGAGGAAAATCAGCCGGTCGGGGGTGGGGGCTTCCCTGGCCCGGGGAAGGTTGGCTGGGAAGGGGGAGCAGCTCCCCGGGCTGGCACGGAGGGAASGGTTGTGTCACAGCCGGGCTGGGGTGGCTCCCCGCTGTAATTRGGGAGCTGCCAGCGTTCCTGGGGCGGCTGAGCCGCTGCTGTTTCCCAAACACGGGTAAACAGGGATTGTTGCTGTGGTGGAACCCGGCTGTGCCTCCGTCCCTGCCACGGCACAGCAGGACCCTTCCTTGATCCACAGCCTCCTCCATCCCTGCTCCAGCCTCCTCCTCTCAATACCTTTCCAGTTCTAATGAGCATAAATCCCATTTCTGCGGTATTTGGGCAGCTGATGAGATCCTCTGTTGTGTCCTGCCTGGATATTTTTGTTGTGGCACCTCTTCAGCACAGKAAGGATGTGGAGCTGCTGGAGAGAGTCCAGAGGACARACCAGGATGATCAAAGGGATGGAGCAGCTCTGYTGGGAGGGAAGGCTGAGGGAACTGGGATTGTTCAGCCTGGGGAGGAGAAGCTTTGGAGTATGTTCATTGTGGCCTTGCAGGACCTGAAAGGAGCTTCCAAGAAAAATGGAGAGGAATTATTTCCAAGGGCCTGCAGTGTCTGGACAAGGGAGGACAAGGAGAATGGCTTCCCACTGACACAGAGCAGGTTCAGATGGGATATTGGAAAAATTCTTCCCTGTGAGGGTGGGCAGGCCCTGGCACAGGGTGCCCAGAGAAGCTGTGGCTGCCCCTGGATCCCTGGCAGTGTCCAAGGCCAGGCTGGACATTGGGGCTGGGAGCAGCCTGGGACAGTGGAAAATGTCCCTGCCCATGGCAGGGGTGGCACTGGATGRGCTTTAAAGTCCCTCCCACCAAACCATTCTGGGATTTTTCTGACTCCCAGACTGTGTTTTGTGTGTGTCAGCAAGCAGAGGCTGGGAAGCAAAATTGCCATTATCAAACTTCCCTTTTGAACACCCAGGATCAGATGCAGGTGCAGCCTGGCCCTGTCAGGAACTCTCACAGGAGCTCCCTGAGACTTCAAAGAGTTCCCAGGAGCACTCTCATCAAACTCCTTATCTCCCTCTTCTGCTATCCTGGCTTTTCCTTGCTGCAGCTCCTGATTTTGCTGACCTGAGCCTGGTTTTGGCAGTGGGAGAGATAGAGATCTTGTGTTGCTTATCCTGGRGAGAGGAGAGGGAGGGAAAGGGAGAGAGGATTAAAAGTGCTTTCCCAGGTGGAGGTAATGTAACCCAAACCCCCATTTCCCCTATTACAAAGATTGCAGAGGGAACGTGCTCAGGAGGATTGTGCAAGGAATTGCTTCCAGCCTTGCCCTGGGAGTGTGGGGGAAGCTCTGGGGCAGGCACACCTCCAGGGAGGGAAAGGGGTGGCTGGGGTGTAATTACCAGGAATGGGTAAGAGAGAAAATGGATGAAAAGCAGGTCAGAAATTACTCTGCGTGTGCAGGGAGCAAAAGGGCATGGAGGGAGCTCCGTGGGTCCAAGGAGGGGTCCAAGGCCAGGCTGGACAGGCTGGGAGCGCCCTGGGGTAGCAGAAGGTGTCCCTGCCATGGGGTGGAACTGGATGGGCTTTCGGGTGCCTTCCAGCCCAAACCATTCCGTGTTCCAGTGAGGTCTGGAGGAGGATGACATTTGCACSCTGCGAGAACAGTGGAATTTCCAAACCCAGGACACGCTGCAGGGCCCCCTCAAACAGAGCCTTTGGGGAGCTGTGGAAGGGCTGCCTTCCATCCCAGCACACCCTGCTGTCCCGGTGTGCTGATGCCGGGGAGCACCGGGATCTTCCCCCACTTCCAGCCCGCAGAGCCGAGCACGGCAGGCTGGGCTGGCCCCGGGACAATCCCCTSCCGAGTTTCGCTGCTGCTTGTGCAAGCCCGGGGCCGCTGCCAGGCCCACAGGGAGAGGGAGGGAGGGTGGCGCAACCCTGTCAGAGCAGGGGAAGAGCAGCTCGTTTGCCTCAGAGCCTGCAGGGACCTTGCTGGGGATAAATCAGCATCTCCCCGTTTGTGCCAGGGCACTTTGGGGTGCTCCCGGTGGCACAGGGGTGTCTCTGTCTCAGCTCTGCCTCTCTGTCCCTGGTTTTGCTGACAGCATCACTCTGTCACTGCTGGCACTGGTGACACGGGGACATTGTTGTATTCCAGCCGGGAATAGCCCAGGACAGACAATCTTAAGCTGCTGCCTGCTATTAGGAAGCTGAGCTCTGGTATTTTGGAGGAGCTTTGGAACGACACCTCATGAAAAACCAGTTTGATTCCCTTGTAACAATGGGTGTAGTGGTTTTACACCCTGCTACTCATCGCGGCTGTGCTGGGGCTCAGCTGGGCTTGGGGCTGGAGGGTTACTCACCTGCCCTCCCCCTCCAGCAGCAGGGAGGGGCCCCAGTTCCACGGGAGAAAGTGGTATCGGGGCAGCAGGAAATGTCCCAGTGCAGCTGAGTGCTCTGCACCGGGCTTGGTGCATTTGTCATAACCAGAAAATACCAAAAAATGTTCAAGGATAGTCCAGGAGCTGTTCAAACAGAGGCTGGGCTGRTGAGGGTGTCTCTGGGCAGGAGTCACTGCTGCCGTAGGAATGACAGGAATTACCTGGTGAAACCTTCCCATAAAACTGGCTGCCTGCATTTGCAGAGCCGAGCAGGTTCCCTGCAGACACCCCCATTTCTGCAGGAATGAGCTGTGGGGTTTGCACCCMGATCTTCTGGAAGGGACACCGAGGTGCTCCTCAGGGCCCTGCTGGCTCTTCTCTGAAATGTTTTTTTGAACCCAAATGCTCCGAGTCCAGTGAACCCTCCCCTGGCAGCCATTCCCTGCGGCCTGGGAGCAGTTTCTGGGGTTGCAGCTTCCTCGTGTGATGTCATTCCCACGTCTCACTGATCCCTGCTGCTCTGCTTTGCAGCTCTGGGGACAGAAGGGAGGCTGAAAAGCAGCAGAATGAGGATCAGCCAGTGCCAGCTGTGGGACATCTTCATGAGAAAGGGGTCTTTGTGCTTCTCTTGGAGAGCAGATTCCATGAAAATCCATTTCCTGGGAAAGGCTGATATTCCAGGCTGAAATTTGCTTTACAGCAATAATGGTTTAAAGTGGAATTAGGGGAAAAGGCTCTTTATTCCTGCTCTCCTGAGCTGCAGGGGGCTGTGTGTGTCCCTGGAGGGGGCTGGGATGGAGGGACAGGACATTGCTCCTGCCCTGGGCTGGGCTGAGACAGGCTTTACCTGGACCCTGGCTYCAGCTCAGGAGAGCCAGGCCTGCAGGGTGTGGGGGGTTCAAGCCAGAACCACTTGGTTTGAACCAGATTCAGTGGGAAAATGGAAAAATTCCCCCACTGGATTGTGCTCAGGCCAGATGAACATAAAGGACTTTTTGTGCTGTTGACTGGGTTTGCTCCAGAGGGGTGCAGGACACCTGAGCTGTGCCAGCTGAGGCTGCTCCTGCCAGGGGGTCCCAGTTTGGTGCCTTTCCTGGAGCATCCTGGATCTGTCAGTGTTTTACTCCCCCTTGGAACWGCTCCCTAACAGAAATCTGGAGTTTTTACCCCTGAGCCTTTTCCAGAAGCTGCAGAGGTGATGCTCCTGCTCTGATTGTCTCAGTTCAGTGCCTTTCCCTGCTTTCCTGGGTTTCCTGGATATTTTTTAGTCTCTGGATGGGGTGACCCAGCCACGCTGTTCCAGTGGCCCTGTGGCTCTTCCAGATGTCCCTGGATGGCAGGAAAGYTCCAGCCTCTGGCTGCTGCTGTGACTTGGGAAGGCCATGCCATTAAATGGAATTTGCTCCCGTAATTATGAGGAGGAACAGCAGCCATCAGGCTTTCTGTGCCTGCTGCTGTGAGTGACATCCAGGTGCTGTGGGCACTGTGGTTTATCTGAGAGCTGAGTTGGGATAAATCCACAAGAATTCCTCAGAGATTGATTGTCCCTGCCTGCTGGAGCTTTGTGTGCAGCAGGGGAGCACCGGGAGCTGTGGGGACACGCAGCCCTGAGAATCCCCAGCCCAAGGTGAGCTGCCTGCAAGGGTGGGCCAGGCTGTTTTCAGCTGCACAAAGAGGATGAAAAGCCTTTTCCATGGGGAGAAAAACAGAAACAAAATGAAAGTGTGTCTGTCCTAATTGCCTTAGTGGGAAATGAAGGATAAAGCTGTGCTGTACATTGTACACTAATATATGTAATATTAAATGCATATTCCACTATATCTGATCTGTCTCACTCTGCTGTTGTCCTAATCCAAGTGAGAAAGATCCAATTCCATGTTTCACCAGYCCTGGAGGAAAATCCTGAGGCTTCCTTGCTTCCAGCCTTTTCTAAGTGCTGTTCCCACCTGTTAATTGGGAAAGCCTCACCCTGGGAGCTCCATGATGTTCCTGATCCCTGGAGCATCCCTGCCCTGCTCCTGCTGGGCYGCAGCCGTGGCTGGAGGAGTTTTCCTGCTCCATCTCTCCACCTCGGGAAGTGGTGTTGGGCAGCTCTGTGCTAAACGGGGATGAGGGGGCTGGGATTTAGGGATGTGATGCTGCC